GCCGGCGCCGACGCGCTCGGCGTAGTTGCCTTGCGCAGGAGGCGGTGCACGCGGCCCACCGGGAACTGCAGGCCGGCCCGGGACGAGCGCGTCTTCGCCTTGGCCCGGGTCTTGCCGCCCTGCTTTCCGCGTCCAGACATGGTAGACCTAGACTAGCGACAATCACAATGCTCAAGCCGAGAAAGAAGTGAGAAGCTGCACCGGCGTCCCCCTGCTTTATTTTCACCTCCGGCTTCTGAGGGCTGGAGATGATTGGACGAGAGGGAGGCCAGTCCTCCAATGAAACGTCTGACTTGTCTCCGTAGCCAATCAGAGAGCGGCTCCTAAAGTAGCCAATAGGAATTGCGGCCGGAAGAACCCTGAGAAAATCTTAGAGCGATTTTTTTTCTGAAAGGGTCGGTTTGACTTCCGGTGCCGTGTTTGGAGCGGCTTAGGAAAGGGTGAAATTAGCTTGAATGGTACAGAAAAGGGACTCGTGTCTTCCAAAAAGAAGCCAAGCAGGAAAATATCACAGCGTCAGACTTTTCTGCCCCTTATGCTTCCATTATTACTTCGTTTTGAGTATGGCGGAGCCATTCATCCACGGAATTCTTGCAGAGTTACATTTCACGATGACTGTTACTGGCGCGCTTTGATGCACTGACTGCAGTCACATTATTTCTACCTGGCAGGGCTGTTGTCTCCTATTCTTTAGGTCAGTGTTTCTCAACCTTGGCCAGTTTAAGATGGGTGGGCTTCAACTCCCAGAATTCCCCAGCCAGCATGGCTGGCTGGGGAATTCTGGGAGTTGAAGCCCACCCATCTTAAAGCTTTAGGTCCTGTCCCTCCTCTAAGCACTGTGATTATGCACCGAGAGCCATTTGAAACACAGAAAACATTAAAGGGAACTGAAGGGGACAGATGTGTTGGCCATATACGACATTGCAGCCAGAGCTTCTCCGACTTTGGCCACCCTGCCAGCGGACTGCCTGCTGCTGCGAGGAGCAAACCTCTGGGCCAGAGAGGAAAAGCGGCAGAGAGAGAGAAACAAATAAATCACCCAAATTCCTCTCCACAATTTCGGGAGAAACCATAGCAGGGGCAGACATCCCCACGGGCATGCGCACCAGCTGGGTCAACTCCAGAAAAGTTAGTTTGGGTGCAAAAGAGCGAGAAAGGATGCAATAAAATTGGCAGCCGGCGAAGGCTGGTTTTGGCACCCCACCTCGTGGCGGATCCCCCATATTGGATTCTGCTTTGAACAAAAATTACTAGGCTTTACTTATGGTGATTGGTGATATATATAAGCTTCAACAGCAGCATCTGTACCCTAAAAGGTGTGACATATATAACTGTTGTCATTGTGGCCCAAAAACTCAGGCACCTTGAGCGGCGTGGAGCTGAAGGAACCTATTTCCCTGAATTTGGGGGAGAAAAACATTTTTACCTTTTGCAAAAATGGCTTTTTCGCCCCTACCCAACAATATGAATCACAAGGATTTCAGGCAAAGTGAAAAGAGTTTATTAAGGGGTGGGGGGGGGATCAAGTCTTTTTATAGGGCACAGAAACAAATGATACATACATTCGGTATGTGTGATACACCAGAAAGCAAGTAAAAGTAAGTAAAAGACATTGATTACACATGAGAATTGAACAATAGAAAACACTGATTCCAGATAACCTTCTACAAGGGGCAAATTTATGGGTTATGTCACTCCCTTTTCCAGCAGAGTTTGTATCTTTCTTAAAGCTTGCAAGTGTATTCAAGGACTTTTCAGAATACGCTCTCTACGGTTTAGTTGCTGAAAAGGCTAGTTTATGCAGGTAAAAAAAGAAATGGCTTTGGCTAAAAGGAAGACATGGTTTCCTGAACTTCACCCTTTTTTTTTAATCCGTTCAATCATGTCTGATTCTCGCAGACTGCCTGGACAAGCCCCTGCAGTTTTCTTGGCAAGGTTTTTTGGAAGTGGTTTGCCATTGCCTCCTTCCTAGGGCTGAGACAAAGTGACTGGCCCAAGGTCACCCGGCTGGCTTTGTGCCGATCAATATATCACCTTTATTAAAAAGCTAAGAAGGAAGCCTAAAATTCCAGGTAACATTGTCAGTAGTAACATTTTGTTTCCCTGTCAGTAAGAGAGGGAGACCGATTGCACCACTCAGGAACTGATTTTGAGTCCTGGAGAGAGAAGGAAAGATTTCTTATTGGTGAATGAGTCACTTAGAAAATAATCGTTCTGCAGTCAGTCCAGCTTTTTCTTGCCCTTGACACCAATTCCTGCCTTTGCAATCTGGAGGGTGCAAGGACAGAGTTCTATAGGATCTCTCGTAAAAAGCTTCCCACAACTCCGCAGTGGTGGTTCAGTGGTAGAATTCTCGCCTGCCACGCGGGAGGCCCGGGTTCGATTCCCGGCCAATGCAGGGAACTTCTTTTTCTTTGCAATTCGGAGGCTACTCAGTTTGTCCCTGCAGGCCTGAGGAAGCGAAGTGGACTCCCCGAAGACCCCTTTTTCCCTTGCAATCCACCGTTTCCAGTTCAACGACGCCGCTCCTTGCGGCGCAGACCCAGGCAGGCTTAGCCCCCACCCCACGTTCTACTAAGGACGTTTATGGGCGCAGCTAACGTTCAATATCGGACTACACCTCCCATCATCTCAGCTGGGGCACGGGCGGGGGGCACTGCGCCACGCCCAAAAAGCAGCCAAGGAGGGGAAGCAGCTGCCTTAAAACTGTTCCACGCTTCGTGCCGCCCAGGGAGCTGAAAGAGGAAGGGAAAGGAAGGGCGGTGCCGGGAGAGCCGGCTTCATTTCTACGATTGCGCACG